GATAGAAACCCCCGTCTTTAATCTAGATTTGGAATGTTCTAGATTAATAGGTTGTTATTTATCTTCTCGATTAGCCGGATTGTAACCGCCATATTATTCCTTTTGTTGGATAAATTTTATTTTTGCTCTGGGCTCCCAGCGATTCGGATTATGAATTTTAGGGGTGTTACAAATGTCATATTCTTTATTTTTCTATTTTTTCTTTTTTTAAGTTGTTCTTTTTATTTATTTGCACATAACCTTTTTGTAAACAGTCCAATAAATATGTTGAAAAGTTGAGGATTGCACCACTACCATTTCCAGATCTTTGTGTTCAACTTTTTGACGGAGTTGCTTCCACGGGCGTTGGAAGTTGGGGGCCGATCTCTTTTGTTTCTAATCCTACATGCATTGCTCCCCAAATACAAGAACAACAAAGTTCAAAAAACATTGTCTACACGTGTTGCTTCTCAAATACAAGAAACAAAAGAACAACAAATTTCAACATTGCCTTCGGTACAAGAGTCTTATTCATGTTCTCAATCTCAAAGAAAAAACGAAAAAGTGTTCAACCAAGCAGTTCAGTAAGTGACGAGGAAGTGTCTAAGGTTGTCACTTCTATGCGAAATGTTTTGGACAAACAACCTATGGAATCTGAGGTGGGTGCTTGCATTGAAAAACTGGAGAAATTTGGGTGGGGAAGCCCGTTGTATGAGACAACACTTCATCTTTTTAGTCTAGACCCTGACTATAAGAAGATTTGGTTGTGTTTAAAGGAGGATAAAAGTGAGGGTTGGGTTAAGTTCACGGGACATCAACTTGGGCTTATATAATTATTGCGACGTTTGTCTAGACATTAGAATAAGATATTTTTATGCGCTCTTTTGAAACATTAGATGGTTTATATGCGTATTAAACTTTTTGATGCACTCTTTTAAAACCTTAGATGGTTTGTATGAACATTAGATATTTTGATGCGCTCTTTTGAAGCTTTAAATGGTTTATATGCGCATTAGATGTTTGTCATTGTTTGAACTTTGGAAGATGTTTGTTGGCTTTTAGATAACTTTTATCGATGAATGTTATGATCAATGTTATCTTTAAAGATGATGTTGTCCTTTTCATTCGAATTTTGGAAGATGTTTTGGTCTTTGTATGGACTCTTGAAGGTTAATGTTATATGTGTTTTGTATTCCAAGGTTATGGATAGGAACAAGTTAATTTTGATTGTGGTGGTTGTTTATTTGTATTTGAAAAAAAAATATTCGTCAAGAATAGAAAGGATAAGAGACAACACTTCAGCATTGAGCGGACATGCGTATACACAAGAATTGTTAAGTGGATCAAATATGCAATATCATGAATTGATGCGTTTGTCACGTGATGCATACATATTATTATGCAATTATTTTAAAGAAAAAAATTGGGTGCACTCAAGTAGGTATATGAGCGTCGAAGAGAAAATGTCCATATTTTTGACAATAATTGGTGACAATGAACGCTTTAGAATGGTTAAACGGAGATTTCAACACTCTACGCGAACCATTAATAAATGTTTTCATGAAATACTAAAAGGAATGATGGAATTTGCGAGAGAAGTCGTAGGGCCAACATCCTTTGATGGAACAACAAACATGTAGGAGCGATAATCGACTCAAAGAAACATTTCCGATATGTTTTTTCCGGTATGTTTTGTCTTGGTATACTGAATATTATTAACATATACAAATACTTTATAATGTTTTCTGTTTCATAAAAAAGGGGCTATAGGTGCGCTAGATGGAACTTTGGTACATGCAGTTGTGCCCATTAGTCAACAACTCAACAAGCTAGGTATAGAGGAAGAGGAAGAGGTGAATGCTATCAAAATGTTTTAGCGGTTTGTGATTTTAATATGATATTCACATTTGTTTGGCTGGATGAGAAGACATTGCACATGATTCTCGAGTTCTGACAGAAGTTGCATTTAACCAAACTTCAGGATTTTCGTTTCCTCCACCAAGTATGTTTCATTTTTTTCTTAACATTTAAACCTCGTTATGTTTATACTTTTAAATTGTATTTTGTGGTTGCAGGTAAATACTATCTTTGTGATGCCGCATATACCAATACTCGTAGATTTATGACCCCCTATCGCAATACAAGGTATTGGTTAACAGATTTTTGAGGCCGATGTGCCTTGACTAAGGAAGAACGATTCAATTATGCTCATGCACAACTTAGAAATGTCATCGATTGTGCATACGGGGTCTTGAAAGCAAAATTTCCAATTTTAATACAAATGACTTCTTACCCTTTCCCAATACAAAAAGATGTAGTGATTGCTTGTTTTGCAATTCACAATTTTATAAGGAAATACAATATTCAAGATCGACTGTTTATGGAGTATGATAAAAACAACATGTTTACCATCGAAGAACAAGACGAAGGAATCGAGGTAGAATGCATCGAGGAAGATGTTGAAGAAACACAATGGGGTCCCCAAGGCAATGAATATATGACTGATTTGCATGACCAGGTTGCAAATCAATTAATGTTGAATGCTTGAAATTAATATATGTAAGCGAACTATTTGTACGCAAACAATTATGTTAAAGACTTGTAATGACTTTTTGTTCGTTGTTGATGGTTTGTTGTTGTTTCCTTTGTTAGTTCTTATTTTAGTGGTGGTTTTGCTTTTAGAAAATTTGACTTTTTGTTCTAAATAATGAAAATATGTAATATGTTAATATATTGAGTATCAATATATTTTCGTAAGCAAAAAAAAAATTGAAATTATATTTAAAAAATTTGATAAATAAAATTTTATGTTAGCACTTAATACAATACACATGTTAAACAATAATTTTCAATCAATACTTACTCCAGAAAGAGAGATATAATTGATCTTTTATACTCAATCAGCACTTAATACAAAATGTTTGGTAAATAAAAAAAAAATCCAATCTACACTTAATCTAATCAAACCTTTGACCACAGTCAGAACTCTTACTACAGTAAGCACTTAACCAAAAAATTGACAAACAACCCATTACACGTTTTTCAATCTATTCAAATAGTATCATTTGAATATTATTATGTGGGGCCCATCTCTCTTTTGTTTTTGTTTTCTCAATAATTGATTCAGCTAATTAAAAATAACTAGTAACATATTCATAAAGATGATGTTGATCAGAATCCCAGCCCCACACACATCATTGTCCTTAACGAACCTAGACCAGACCTATATGTTCTTGTTTTGTTCTTGAGTATACTGTTTTGAGAACGATGGTATTTGACGGTGGTGAGGGTGGTTGGTGTCCATCAGTCTTGAACTTCATCGGAAGATTTTAACCCAAATATTTTGTAGGTACTAGAATCGTGCAATGCAGCGAGATACATCTTGATTTTAATATTTCATTTTTTTCTTTATCTCAGTCGATATGGTTTTATGTGATTTTGAGAAAACGATGATGTTTTTATTTTTGAATAAAATATAAGTTTGAAGATATCATAAAAATTTGACAAAAATATATCGATATTAGTCAAATTAACTATTTAAAATTCCTCATTTTTTAATGTAATTTTTTAATTCAAATTTTTATAATTTAATTTAGTTACAATAACAAAGTAATTTATATTTGTTTTAATAATATAATTTTCTTATAAAGATAATAATTATTTATTTTGTTAGAACTTGATAATTATTCTAATTATATTTTGGATTTTTTAATTTTAAAATAAGATGTTTATCTTCTATTTGATTATGTTTATCCGCAGTTAGTTATACGAATTCAAACATTGAGCTTTAATAAATTGTAGTTATGCATAATTTACTTGTAATCTTGAATTTTAAGTAATATGCATCAATATACAATACTTTATA